GCAGCGAGTGGCGGGCGGGCGCCGGGCGATTCACCTGCTGCCCCTTCCCCCGCTGCCCGGCTTGAGCTGAATTAGAGGCTCGGGGGAGGCGGGGGAGCACTGCCCTGTCACTTCAGTGCCAGCCTTTGCTGGCCTCTCCCGGCGGTGGGTCCGCTCCTCGGACGTGCCCGCCGCGCTGCCCGGGCACCGTTTGGCTCGACCAGAGGCGTGGAGTGCGGGGAGGGTGCTGGGGGGGTGCTGTACCCCCCAGCTGCACCCCAACTTCTGCCCGCGGCTGGTTGTCCCTCCTTTTAGCGAACAAGTCACCCTTAGCCTTGGGAAGATACCGCGCTCTTCCCTGGGAGCCGGTGTGGACAGTGTTGCATTGGAGACGAAAACCTGCCCGTTTGGGTTTTTTTTTTCTTGAACTTTGTAGGCAGTGGCATGGGAGAGAACAAATCTAGAGGAGACTAGCTTGTGGTAGCACATGCTTGAGGATAAACTAACAGTGGAACCTTTCAAAGAATTAAAAACCTAGTTAAAAAGCTTGGGTTTGAAAGTAACTCCATATGTGAGGTTTAATCGATGTATAATGTCAACTGACCTGACTGACAGCAAGCAAGGTTTGAGGCAGAAAGTCTCATTAAAAGGTTTTTGCAGCTCAGGAGCTACATCCATGGAATTTCAGCACCACAAAACCAAATTTTTGTATGAAATTGTCACTTATGAAAAGAACGACAGTGTTTTTACGATCACATGTGCTTTATCTAAAGAGTATTCTGATAAAAAAAATTAGATTAAATACTACAGGATATATGGCAAGATACACTCCTCAGTGTATGTTCTGCGAGTTATGCTAGCTGTGTGGCTCTAGACAACAACAAAACCAATCTCTTTGGAGCTGAAGAGGAAAGAGGAGTTTCAAAGCAAATGAACGTAGCTGCTCTAAGTACCTCTAATAAATTTTAGGTTGCCTAGATGTAACTCTGATGTACTTGTAGAATAATACTTGTTTAAACGTAATGGCCTAAAGCATGCACATGGGAAGCAGGTGGGAGAGACATTCCATAAAGTGAGAAAGCTTTTTTTTTTTTTAACCATGATGTGACCATAATGTTCAGGCCCTGGAAACTGAAGTTAAATGAGGGCTACAAACCAGCCTAAGTTCTAAGCAGCAGTTACGAAGGTGTAGGAGCAGTGTAGCACAGGATGTCCCCATATCACTGCTGCTCAGATTTTTTTTCTCTGAAGATCAGATGACTTTTCAGAAAATGTTTTGCCGTTCTGTCAGAGTGGGAGCTGTGTGATATTCATTGGCCTAATCAGAAAAGAGACTAGATGAAGCTTCTGGCACACAAAAGTACAACTGAAATAATTAGCTTCACGCTATGAACAAGACTTAAGTACTACAGCAAGTCTTAGTCTGCAGTTTAAAGAAGTAAATCCCAGCATGGCTTTTTGTGTGGAGTCATTTTTGACCAGAACTACATTTAAAGAGGACTTTCGGATGAAGGTTGTGATTTTGCACCTGAATTTATGTTAAAATGAGTTAAGTGACTTTTCTGTCTAGTTTTTGTGCAACAGTTGCACATATTTTGGTTCAGACTACCTTTTTCTCTTCTCAACTTCATGTCTTCTCACTATCTTCTCTCTTAGAATACAGAAATCTATACATTTGAATGTATGTGCTTGGTTTTTTATTCAATAATTTTGAATGTTTTGACTGCATTTTGATTTTAAAAAGTGGTACTTCAGCTAAAGTACTCCCATTAAAAATAATTTTTTGTTAACATTGTGACAAAGCATAAGTGGTAAATGGAAAGTGTCTGCCACTTGTAACTGTCTCTCATTTTATCAATAACAGATGCTTAGCAGAAATTGTTTGACTTTTATCTGTTCATGAAGTGTATAAGTCTCTATTTATGGGTAGAGTTTATCTTTGCAAAGGACTTGGACAAATTAGCACCCAGGTGTGACAGGTTTTTGTCTCAGATGAAAAGCAATCCTTGTGCACACAACAGTCTATTTTAATTCTAATTTGGTAGCTGAATTTGCTAATGGCAAGTGTTTATATCTGTATTGGTCCATCCCACTTCCCAGAATTAGGAAAACAATTTAAAAGCTGAGCTTTAGGTAGAGGTTTTGAGACTAATGACATTTGTATAAATTGAGTTTAAAACTGACAGCCGGGAGAGAAAAGACAGCAGATTTAGCACAGTTGCTGAGCAGGGCTGCTGCGTGAACTCTGCAGGTTTGTGTGTTCTTCGGCCTCTGCTCCAGTCGGTCAACACATATATGTTGAACTCATCACAGCACCTGGGGCCTCCATTCTCTTGTCACCTGTGTGTGGAGGAGCTGGGAAGAGGAGGGAACGTGGGAAAACACTGAGGTGGTGTAGTTCTAGCAGTGCAGGGAAGGACGGTGCCTGGGGCTGCTGCCCCTGGTAGCATGTTAGAGGTGAAAGGCCTGGAGGAAGCACTGCTGAAAGTTCTAGATGAGCCTGGAAGGAACCTGGTCACAACATCACCCGAGGGACTTGGGTGCAAAGCTGTAGGATATCAGGCTTTGTTACTTCTGCTCAGGGGAAAGAAGCTGCCTTGAGAATGCAAAGATCATATGCTTCAAAAGGCCTCACTGAGTAGTTGCCATTTGCAAGTCTGTAGCTGCTAGGAAAAACAGGTTAATTTAGGAAGAACCAAAAACTTGGTTATAATGTCTACTCTGGTAAGGAAATTATTTAAAGTTGCTTAGGGTGACATGGAAATGGCAGGTGTTTTTAATGAAATATTTTAATAGATGAAGTTTTGGGCTAGTCTTCACAGCCTTAGTAATTTTACTATCTCAAAATCAGGATGTTCTCATACAAATCTTCATCTGATGGATATTTGAAAGGTGCCACTTCTCATCAACTCACTCGGACTTTAGTGTTTTCAGATGGTGCTAACTTGAGTTAGGTTAGGTTGGAGTACCGTAACCTTTGCAGAGAAGACGACACCAATTGCTTAACTCTTCTTCCCCTTACCATCTGTGCTTAAGCCATAACTGTGAAATGGGGAACAATATATTTTGTATTAGCCAGAGCTTCTTTAAAGAGGCTAATATAATTGCATTCAGTTGCGTGCACACAAAATATTACTAGACTGTTAGTTTATTCTTCAGCTTGTTGATAGAGTATTGCACTTTTTTAAAAATGTAAATCAACCTATGCATGTATTGGAAGTCATTTGTGTACAGAAAATAATATTGCTGATGCTAGAGCTGGGTTGGAAGAAGATATAAATGACTGGCCTTGCTTTCTTCTCACTGGAAGGTAACAGTCACCTTAAATGATTGCTCTAAAAATAAACAGTCTTCTGCTAGCAAACTGTGCAGCGCACATAAACGTATGTCCAGTGCAATTCAACTGATTATCCTCACTGCCAGTTTTTTGCTAAAGCACACAAGCTCACTCTTCACTCAGAACTAAAAATAACAAGTATTTTAATCATCTCAGGAGACTGAACAGAATAATATGGAAATAGTATTTGTTTCTGACTAGCAACCTGGCTGTAGTTTCATGTGCAGATAATCTGTGTCTAGAATTTATTTTTTTTTCCACAAATTGTAGCTATCTCAGGTGGCCTTCAGTGATGTGCATCTTAGTGGTATGTGACGCTCATACAATTCTGTGCATCAGTAGGAATGTATATGCTGTCACTCTTCGGTCCTCAGCTTCTCTCTGAAGTAGCACAGCTAGGGTGAAACAGTTGTGGAACAAAGTGAACGTGGAAGAGAGGTGAAAATGAAAAGTTGCGAGTAGCTGGTTCCACCATTTGAGAATAAATTTGTGTTCATTATTCATGAATATCAGAAATGGAATCTCCACACCTTGCTGTTTGGAAATCAAAAACTGCATGGAAGAAACGCACACTTCAGAAAAAATGTCTTGAGTTACATAATAAATTACATATAGTTTTGTGGATCTCAGACAAGTTTTCTGAACTTTATAAAAAGTAAATACCTTCACAGAAACTGCTGTTATTCCTGCATTTGACACAGTGAGGGGGTTTTATAGGTCACTTTAAAAATAATTATTAAAGGAATGTTAGTTCCCTGTTATTCTGAACCTATGACAACCAAAATTAACTGGTGTGACATAAATGTTCCTGCTTATCTGATTCAACATTTGATTTGTGATTTGAGGCTTTTGCTTTAAGCCATAATGTATGCCAGAGGAAACAATGCTAATTCTGTTGGCAATCTAAAAAGATGACATTGAGCTTCTTTGTAATCAGATATGATTTATCTTAAATCATAATTCTTGAATGAGACTCTTGTGAGGACTGAGAACTGCTTCTAGATTCCTATTCATTCTCACTTCAAAGCTTTTTTGTTTGTGTTTAGATGACTGGTAGTCAGTTTTTAACTTTGCAAATGCACATCAAGTATTTCAAAATGGTTCTTCAATGCAGTGTTCTCACTGCTGGCTCTTCTCAGTGCAGCTAAACTAGCAATGCTCTGATCTAATACTATTTTCACTATTTAATAGATTTATATATATATATGGAATTCTGAAAAGCAGAATTATAACAAAAGCAAAATAAAGTGTATGAAATGTGTACCATGTGGGAAAGCTTGTTTATATCTGTCTTACTATACTGTGTATATCAAAAAGAAATTCTTTACAAATTTGTCTTTTGGCTTAACCATACAGTGGATGGTATCTTTGGATCTTAGCTCTGAAATTCTCAGACACAAATCTAGATTGCTGCACAGTGATTAGTTCTATTAGCTATAAGCATCAGATCTGTCAAGTTTGATTTTTGGGGGGGGGGCCTTGTATTCAGAAAAGATGAGTTCTACAGACAGTAGTTATAATAGCTCTAACTGTAATGTATGTGGGCTGGATTCTTGGTCTTAAACCCCTAAGATTTGTCAGCCAGCTGAACTCCTGTGTAACCTGTCCTTTTAATTACGTCACCTACCAGGCTTCAGGCCAGCTCAGCTGAACAGGACATGGTGGCCACACACAGTGGTGGCTCTTGCTGTTTCTTGCTGCTCTGTGAATACTGTTTTATTTCCATAGTGACTAAAGTCTGATGAATCGGTAACACTGTGCTCATTAGGCTAATTAACTTGCTTTTAGATAGAGTTTGTATGTAATTCAAAACAACACAGCGCTTCTTGAAAGCTGTATTAGAGAGGTTTCAAACTTTCCTAAACTACTTTCTCCAAGTCCTTCTCTAGGTGCTGGAATTAAAAGCTTTTGACTGTGAGCTAAGGCAACATTCAGCTAGAAGGAAACTGTGCATTCAGAGACTATTTAAGGAAAACAGAGAAGACTGAACTCAGGGGTCTATAGATTTTTGGTATAAAGGCTTAGTGTCTACCAGGTATTAAAATAACTTGCTGTTAAAGGGCTTATCTGTTAGTTTCTCAATTTATCTGTTGGGGGTTTTTTCTTACCAGCACAGTTTCTAGGTTTTAATTTTTCCTGAGTTGGTTTTGACGCTAAAAACTTAAGCGAGGATTTTAACACCTTTGATAAATGCATAGCTTTTATATTGCACGTGACTCGTATAGATGCATGTCTTCATCTGGAATACCCTAGCAGGTTGTTAGCCTTTAGGTGTCTGTTCCTCCTGTGGTGTTCTGTGGTAACTCTGATTCGATTAACGCGTTTTATAGTGATCTTTTAACCACACCTTCCTAGTGCTACAAAATCCTATAATATTGGTTTTGTGCTTTTGCAAAACTATAATGTCTTAATGTATGTATCAGTAATTAAGAACTTTCTCCAAGCAAATAGGATTCAGGACACTGAAAGCATATTTTTACTGGTTGCCTGCCTTCACAGACATCTGGGCTGTGCTCTGATCTAGTCTTAATACATACTGTGCTGTAGATAATGTGTGCTTATGCAAAATATTATTCCTAGAGGAATAACTGTGGCTATATCAGCGGTTACATGTCTGATTATTTTAGTGAGATTGCCTAGCAAATACCCACTTTGTGGGTGCTTATTTGACTTCATTCATTTAGACTAGGTAATTCTGAAACAAATGCCACCCACTTTGTGGGTGCTTATTTGACTTCGTTCATTTAGACTGGGTAATTTTGAAACAAATGCCAATTAAAAGCAAGCTGACCACAAGTTTTAGCAGTTACATTTCTCGGATAGCAGTCTGCCAGTAGGTTGGGAGCTGAGCATGAAAACTTGGACATGATCTGAGTTAGTTAATTCTGTGAACTTCAGCTTGGAGACAGGAGAGGCAAAACCCATGTAAGTGTATTCCAAACCAGATGAGGACTCTTATGTTGGTTTCAGCAACCCTACAATAAGTTAAGAACCAAAATAAAGATCTCTAAGCCGTTCCTGCAGGCTTATAAGAAAATTTTACATACAAATAAAAAAGATAGTTGTGATGAACATTACCTGTATGGTAAGAACTAAAAAAAAAGATTGCTGTACTTCGAAGTATGAGAAGTCGTTATTGCATTAGATTACAAATATTGATAGACCTTTTCCGTCTAAAAATCAATACTGTGTGAATGGAACAGAGTGGAGAATGTGACATGGGACTCTTTTATCGTAAAGAAGCTTAGAGCAGACACTTCAGTCCAAAATGCTGTGGGGGAAGTCTTCTGACCTTAGTGCTGCAGTGTGGTTTTCACTAGCCTGCTGGCTTGGCATAATTTACCAGTTGTGTGTTTTGTCAGAAGTGACGCTCATTAACATGGGTTAAGCACTATGCTCAATTCTGCTCAGCAAGTGTTTGTATTTGCATTATTGTCACAGGAGTTTTGTTAGAAAGCTTTATGTTGGCCAAGCTGCTTAATTTTTTTTTTCTTTTAAATCATCCGTGTTCCTTATTTATACAGTAAGACTAATAATAAGGGATTTTGAGAACTGTTAAACAAAAACCTCTGGCTGTTACCAGACATCACAGTGAAAGTACAAAGTGCCATCTTCAAAAATGCAGAGCAGAGTCTGGATATTGCGTGGCAAATGGAGCAGGATTTTGAGCAGTTATTGAATAAGAGTGCTGTTGCCTTGACTATGGTGTGATACTTCAGAAAACAATAACTAGGTTATTGTGACATAGTCATAGAAAGTGTAAATTGCTTGTTTGAAAACTCTGTTTTTGCCATTTTTTTTAACGAAAGGTTTGAGGATAACTTAATCTTGTGAACTAGCGCAACTTGTTTATTCTGTATTTCTGAAAACCAGGTTCCTTGAATTGATAGGGTTTTTTAATTCCTTATTTTCCATGGATCTTAAATAACAATCTGGATTGTGGTGTTCCTAACTTTTGAAAGTGTAGGGATTATCACGCAGCAAGGCATCTTACATTTAGAACATATTTGAAATGTTTCGATTAATAGCGATTTAGTTCAAGTTTCCTTAAATGTTAAGTTATAAGGGCAATACTGAAGTTATCAGTAAGGGATTAAATTTAACTTTAAATTCTTCTTTAATTTCAGGGGAAAATTTGCAGTGGTGAAGAAGTGTATCCAGAAAGACACTGAAAGAGAGTTTGCAGCAAAATTCATGAGGAAAAGAAGAAAGGGCCAAGACTGTCGGATGGAAATAATCCACGAAATTGCCGTCCTTGAGCTGGCACAGTGTAACCTTTGGGTTGTTAACTTGCATGAAGTTTATGAAACTGCAACAGAGATGATTTTAGTTCTGGAATAGTAAGTACTCATAATAATTCCGGAATAACCTTCTGCAGTATTTGCTTAAAAATAATACACGTAAAAATACTGTGTATTAGTATGACTAATGTGGAAAGATTTTGTTGCTTGCCTGTTACACTTGCTTGAGTTCATAAAGAATTGCTGAGAAAATCAGTATTATAAAAAGGTATGTGCAATCCTGTAACTCCTGCAGATTATGATACATTTCTCCAATTATGTAGTATCTTTCAAAGCTGAACTATAATTTCTGTAGTTAAAAAAAGTCTTCAGTGAAATATGAACTGTGTACACTCCCTACTTGCAAAAGAGGAAGAGGAAAGAAGTGATGAGTATCTGTTCAAAAGCTGAAGTTTATTTCACTAACAGTGACAAAGATTGGGTGAAATCTGGGGGGTTTTACTGGTTTTGGAAAAAGGTATTGAAAGCAATGTCATTGTTGAAACTATGAAAAACCCTTATGATCTGCAATGAAAAGCTCTCCAAATCATTCTTTTGAGGGACGAAAGAGTAGGAGAATTCAGAACTAAAATAGTTTCTTTCAAATGATGTTTAACTTGTGACTGTACATTTGTCTATGTGGTTTTTTCCCCCTTGGGTTTGTCCAGATGGGCGTTTCTGCAGCTGTTGTGACTGTTCATCTAATACGCCAGTGGCTTAGATATTTGACATCTAGGTTTCAAGAGGCAGCCAAACGCTTGTTGCTATTGAACTCAAGATCCTGTTCAAGCTCTATGGATTTTAAATAATTAGGAGAGGAGCCATGAGCCTTGATAGTTCAAAAGTGGCTTAACCTGACTGCTAAGATAAATCTAGTTTGTACAGCTCTTTTCTTGCTTGATAACAAAAAGAAACGGTGAGAAATCTTGTGTCCCAATCTGATCTTGCTTAGAATTCAAAAGAAAATGTATCTTTAAAGTTCAGTGAATCAGAATGAGACCATGTCTGCTGAGGCAAACTTCCTTCTAAAATACATTTTGTCATCTTCGCTGTGCCCTTTTGGAATTCATGATTTATGGAATATTCAAGTATCTGTTATAATGAAAAGATGTGACAGAGCTGCTGGAGTTTTAACTGCTCTTATTGGAGAGTCATGAATACATGCTTTAAACATTAGGAGCACAGCTCTAACTAGAATACAGTTTTAAGTTTCTGGATCTTGTAGCTGTAGAACACAGGCAGTAGAATTGGAAGCCTGATATGAGCAATGGGTTTTGAGATAACATTAATGCAGAAATGCTGGTTTTCTTTTAGAGCTCTTACAATTGCAGAACACTTCTAATCTAAAGTATTAACTAAGTTGTTCAGTAGTCACCAGGTTGTTCAGTAATTAGCAACATTATTGGTTTTATATGCATCAAACAGTCATACCTTGTTTCAGATAAATAGCTGTGTGTTAGAGTTATAATTTACAAAAACAGTCTTTCCCTGACTTCAGCAAATATGTCTGGATGCTTCTTTAATGTCAGCATGTTCCAGAGACATGTTGCAACAAACCAGGTATGAATGTTAGTAAATTTCTGACATTCTGAATGCAGAGGATTAAAGAACATATCTAGACGGCAAGCTTCTCTAGGGCATTTCAGTTTCTATTAAACCTGATGGCCTGCGTGGCAGATCTTTATCTTGGAAAGGAGAAAAACCATACTTAATTGTTGGCCACTAACTTTATCTGTCATGGTTTTAAAGATTTTTCTCTCGATGTTGAATCTGTCATAAGGGTTGAGGGGGACACCAGTGCTTTGCCTTATGAAGAGAAATATTAATGTTATGTGGAGTGTTGCCCTTCAAGCAGTACCCATTTTTGACGGAAAACAAACTTAAAATTGGTCACTAACTGTTAAGTTTTTAGCAGTGAGAAATGATGAAGCATTATAGCATTGGCTTCAGGTGTAGGATAGCAAATTGGTGGCTGCTTGCATCCAGCCTGACAACAGTCTCTCACTTGTTGTCACAAGGCCTCAATCAGAGGATTTAAGTAGGAGTTGAAGTCGTAGTATGTAAAGCCTGAACTTAATCTGTGGGTCAGTCATGTTTCTCTATTTCAGTGAAAATGGAATGAATGAAAAAGAAAACTGAACTTTTACTCAAAAAGGTAGAGATACAGTCTGGGAAACCTGACATGCCAGATGTAAAAGGAAAAAAGCAAATTTGATAACTTTTGGGTTCAATATTTGTATGCAACCTCCTTGGCTTTTTCCAACTTATTTTGAAAGAGCCAGCAATAGAGCATCTGGTGCTTAGGAACTGGTAAGTGTTCATCATCTTATGTTATACATCTGTGGAAGGGACAGGTGATATTAGTGGGTCGGATATTACAGAAACCTGTATGTGTAAATTCAAGATCTTAAGCCATTAAGTATTTTTTTTGTGAAGAGCTTCTGAACTGAGTAATTACCTGCCAGGATCTTGTGTAGATACAGTAGACTTCTGTTATGCTTGCTTTAAAAAGGAAAAAAAGTTGTCTTTATCATCTCAAAGACATAGTCAGGCTTTATTTGATATGCTGGATGAAGTGCCTTTTACACCTATAGTTATTTGGACCTTGATAATGTTACTACTTATGTTGTCTTGGACATTACTTATTGTCCTACTCGGTGGAAGCGTGACTGGTTAAAGAGCCTGCTGGCAGGAAATGATTCATTTAGCATGGGATTCAACAGATAGAACTTGAAGCAAAACCACTGTAATCAGAAATAACTCTCCTACTCTAATGTTTACATCTAGGCTGTTGGAGTAATTAGCAAAGCTGTACTAGATGGCAGTATCAAATAGAGACTAGAGCTCTTGAAAAAGTTTTAGGGGAGAATTTCTCAAATGGTGTTAGTTACCTTTTGTTTGCATTTCAGACAGTTCTTTGGTTGCCTGATTGGAAAGGTTAAGAAAAAGAAAGAAAAAGGAATTTGGCTGAGAACCAAGAACAGTATCTACAAGTTAATGCATTTGGATTCTTCTCTTCCCACGTGTCCTCTCATCAGATATGGATTTACAGTTTTCTCAGGCTTTAGGGACATTGGAAAAATTCTCAGTAAATTTGCTTGCTCACTATTGAATGGTATGCCTAGTCAAGGAAAGGAGGATAGGACTGTCAGCAGTAGTGAATATGAACCTTTGATAGTGTTGCAACCACCTTGGTGTGATCTTCTTGTAATATAAGCTCTGTGTACAGAAAGCAGATGAGTTTCCATTTATCTTCCAAAGATAACGTTTCCAAGAAAAGCTTTGGACAGAGCATAAGGTCCAGGGGGTAGATTTTTGGCCCTTGCAGACTGTATATGATCTCACTTGGCATTTGAAATCAGATGTATTCTAGGAACTTGTTATCTACACATCTGTACTCCAAGGATTTGTACTTCTGAGTCTTTCAGAAGACTATCTTAATGTCTGATCCATTAAAGCTGGGGGAATGTTTAATTTTTCAGATACAATGAAACAGATTTGTTCAATCTTTTTCTAATGATATGCTGAAGTGTATTGTAAGTGCACTTGAAAGAAGTAGGATGCTGAATTGTGCACAGTGGATTGTTAAGATATGTTTCAGAGAAGATAAGCAGTCTCCATTGAATTTAAAGTCAACATAATTGTAACAAAGACTAATGTTCCAGACATCCAAATGACTTTCAGCTTGCTTATGCTGATAAGCAGTAAAAAAACATTAGCATGCTTTTCATTGATGAAGAGCAGTTGGATTTCACTTGAAACTATAGAGAGGTTAATAGCACAGCAGTATTTTCATAAAATGGCTGAAGAGTTCTGGTTGCTGTAGCTTTTGGAAAAAGTTCTTGTGTCTCGTGTTTTTTGTACACCTAGCTAAGGGAGTGTGTACTAGAGAAATAATACATTCTAAGTAATGCTGGATTTCAAAATGTTGTGCTTTAAATATTTCCTTGTCTTTTTTTTTTTTCATATTAAGATGTATTCTTTTCCTAAGGACTTTCTTGTCCTAAGGACTATTCTTTGCTTTTATTCCTTAGGAACATTTTCTGTGGGGGTGCCCAGTGGTTTGCAAAGTCGTTCTTTCATAATGAACATTAGAAAAGCTACAGTTTAAATGGGAAATCTGTTCTTAGAGGCAAAATGAGTAAATGATATAAACACTGGAGAACTCAGTCTGCATGTATACAGAAATCATAGTGATGACATGCCCATAATACTTTCCTAGCAGGTATTTTAATCCCTTCTGTGTTATGCTTAATTTTTTTTTTCTGAACTCTAGCTAGGGAAAATAACTGAGTTGAAAGTATTGTTAAGGAGCTTGGCAAAACTTGGCACAGGTGTGCAGGAGAATCTTTTTGGAATTCATTTTGACATTGTACTTCCAACCACTTGTGTCTGGGTTGGCTCACAGCTAGCTGACTGTTTTGCTTAAGGGAATCAATTAAGCTTACTCCCCAGCAACAATACACGAAACAGTCTTGCAATAACAAATTTCCCTGTGTTGGTGTAGAGTTGTTACTTGTTTGAATGTGGCAATTTTTGGATAGAAGTCTGGAAGAAGTTGTTCTATCTGCATCCTAAATACCAAAGTTGATCAAAAAATGCAACCTTGCATGAGAAACCAGCTTTCCATGTGAAACTTTTTTGTAAAGCTGAGTATACTTGTCTGTGATAGCTGGGAATAGCTAGGTTTTGTAAGTCATGAAATGGGTGTGCATGTGTAAGGGCTGTGTTTGCTTGTCTCACTCTTAAAAATGCTGGTGAACCTAGGCATCTCCAGAAGTGCTGGGAGGTACTTAAATACCTTTTTAAAAAAAAAGAAAATTCTGGATTAAAGTTTTTTTACTCTGATACAGTAGTGCTGTCTCCTCCAGTGATGGGACATTGTGTGCTTCAACTTTTCTTGCCTTGACTTTTAATACATTTAATTCAAAGTTCTTTAACTGGAGTATTAAAATTCTAGGTAGCTTACATTTTAGCTTGGTGCCTACTTCAATGTTAATTTGTTTATTAGTGTTAACTGTAACAGATGTCTACCAAGTAGATGTATAGCAAACAGGGCTTTATAAGGCCCCCCCCTTTGATTTTTTTCAGCTGGGTCTATTAAAAATAAAGTGTGACCCCTGGTTGACAACAACAGTTTTTGGGTATAAATCCTATTTCACAGAATTAAATAGCAGAAGTATTGCTTTGCTTATTTTAATTGGCAGAGCTATACCAGCAAAATCCTGGGGTTGTTGCAGTAAAACACATCATGTTAGCAAATTTGGTAGTAGATCTTATCACTGTATGTGCATTGTCATTCACTGCTACAAGGAATTAAATCATTCTTCCAAGTAACATATTATGGCATTCTTAAAGCAGAAAGTTCATCTATTGATTACAGTAGTGTTTTTCTATCCCTATCTTGAAGATCCAGTTGGTGTTGCTTTTTAAAGGAATTCGGTTGGTTTAGAATACACTAGCCTGTGTCCATTTTTTTAAATGTCATTAATATCTGTATCCTGTTCAGAGCTGAAATATTACTAACTTTTTCTTTCAATTAAATAAAGATGTGCTGAAGAAAGATGTGCTAGTGTCAGGAGTGCAATTTTTCTGGAGGAATTAAATTATTAATACTCCTTTGAAAACCTCTTTTTTTTTTCTTGAGCTCTATCATCTTTGACACAGGGTGAATAAAAATAATTATTTGATGGACTTCTCTTTTTCAAAAGTAAATCTTAGTTAAATAAATCAAATTGTACTGCTATACCAGTTAGCCAGCACATGGAACAGAGATACAAAACTCTTTAGAAAAAGTTAAGGTGGAACCCTCTTTTAAATTCTTTCTTCTTGTAAGACAATCTTCAGGGGGAGTTTTAAATAAGAGCAATGAGAGTATCTGGGAAGACAAAAAAATGTTTTACAAACCATGAAGCATTTTAAGCCACTAGGACTGTAGGAGCAAAGTTAGTATGGCCAAGATGAAAATTTGAGTATACTTAAGTGTTCTTTTTCTGGGAGTACATAATTCAAATGCACCATTTTTGTAAAACTTATTTTCTGTTATTCATGTTGATTATGCCTCTCTGTCTTCTGAATTGCCTAAGCAATTTATTAGAAAAGAGCAAGCAAAGGCAGAATAGATGGCTCTGCATCAGTAAAGATTATCGCTTGTGCAAAGTCATATTTGGCTTGTCACGGTTTGGGGTAACCAGAGAAGATGCTGTCCTCAGGGGTTTTGCCATCTTTCACTAAGGGATGATGCTAGAATTTCATGCAGAACAAAGTGTGCATGTGTTGATTTCATAGTAGCAATTCAACAATCTGTATGAAAAATGGCCCCATTCTAATGTTCTTATGCTATGCCCATTCTTGTTTTAAGATGGAGCCTCTGCTCTGCTTATTTTACTTTTGATGCTACATGGTTATGTTGTGAAACAATTTTAGTTCTCTGGGGTCATTTCTATACAGAGATGGAACTTCATGTGGCTTTAGAGTACTTTAAAAACATTCATTCATCTTTAGTTAGTTTTAGCTTTTTTGTTACTCTGTTATTTATTTAAACATATATAAACAAAAGATACAGATGCAAGCTAAGAGCTAAAATTTTCAATGGTATTTTTAGATGAAAGCCATTTAGAAACTTAATGCATTCCTGTATACCAGAGACTTCACAAACAATTCAATTATAGACTTTACATTTAGTCTTTAGAGTATATGCAAAGTGTTTTGAGGAGGATTGGGGGTGGAGCTGCTTTGCTTTGTGTTTCCAAAGACTTACCTTGGCCAGATTTCCAGGCAGTTTCATAGGAATGGCAAAAGGCACATTTTATTTAAACACTGCCCTTAAACAAATGTGGCATTCATCTTAAAGCATAGTCAGTAGTGTTGCCAAAATAGTCCCCAAAATTTCTGTAGCATTCATATTCTCTAACCTAAATGACTTAAGATCTTTGATTCTCTCCAAAGCTGCTGTACTGCCGAGAAGTATTCCTAGGCTGTAAAAGCTTGCCAAATGTTTAATAACTGAAAATATCACTACTGGATGCTACTGCCTAGCTGATATTTCTTATGCTAAATAAAATAGTGCAAGTAGAACAAAATGAGTGCTGTAAATTAGTCTTTGAAATAATAAAATCCAAATTGTTCCATAGTGCTGCTGGAGGTGAAATCTTTGACCAGTGTGTGGCTGAAAGGGAGGAAGCCTTCAAAGAGAAAGATGTTAAACGACTTATGAAGCAGATCTTAGAAGGTGTTTCATTCTTGCACAGAAACAACGTGGTTCATCTTGACTTAAAGGTAAGATTGTTACTGTATTTTTCTTACTAATTTTTTATCTGCTAACTCTCTTGTTGGTCGCATGTCATACTAACATTAATTAATAATCAACACAGTTTTTATCTAGTTATTCCTCAAACAGTAAAATCCGACCTTTGGGATGCAGTAGGCACCAGGGTTGCAAGCCTTCTGTGAAGTTTCTGTGATTATGTCAAATATAAACTCCATCTGATTAAGGGAAATGTAGTGACTTCAAAAGTGGATTTGCGTTGCACCTTAAATTGCAAATGAGTAAGACTTGACTCATTTTAAAGGGCAATAAAAATATCTGAGTATTACATGGCCATTGGAAAATAGGTTTGGGTAATGTATTGACTGGAGTTTTAATGAAGCAGAAGGATGGCAGACACTGGTAGTATAAAGTGTGATGTTTCAGAATGAAGCATTCATACAGGACTGGTAAATACTATATTAATATGTTAAAGACATTTATAACACTTTGGTATTTTTTTGTAAATTACTGTAAAACTTAATTTAAATGTTTGTCATTCGCTGCAAAACAGTTGGCCAACACCCTATTGGTACCTAAATTGTCATGATTTACTGGAGTAAATATTTTTTTTACTGAAAAATAGTTTTGACCCACATCCAGAGAAGAGTACGATTGCCATCATACAAAATCCAAAATATTCCTTACGATTAAGAGGAGAGTTGTGATAGGGATTCAGAAAACTTTCTGCTCCCATGGGCAGCAAGCTGTAGTTAATTCTCTTTAGCTTCCACTCATATGCTTGTATGGGAAATAGAATTTTTATCTGATTTTGAGGTTGAATTACTTTTAGTACTAAGCAAGGCAGTGTAAAAAGTATCTTGCATTAAAATTTTCAAATTCTTTTTGCATGTCCAATTCCTGTATTTGCTAATTATGCAGTAAGCTGCTACATGTTTGTTCTGTTGCTGAGATCCTTACTTATTCTTAATTGCATTTTGGCAGTATTACAAAGCTACCAGTAGATTCCAGTATCAAGCTGTACATACTTAAATAACCTAGCACATCATGAACCATTCATCAGCTAAAGCAGATGATGAGTAATATTTGCACACAAATATGTCACCTGCCTGGTTTTCCAACCATTTATTCAAATTATCTGTGGAAACCTTTAAAAGTTTTGTGTAGCCCATTGATTTAGTCATACATGTAGAATATTAATAATTGTGCTAAAATAATTAATGGAAATTTTTTAGCAAGGAATGTGAGAATAAGTGTTCAGAAGAACTGAAAATGAGCAGTTCTTAAAGTTCAACTATGCTTATACAAGATACTCAGTGCCATTGAATTTCCTTGAAGCAAAGTGTGTAAAACTAAAACATGTCTTTTGTGGGCAGTATATATTCATACCTTTTTGTAGTTAAAGCTGTGGTGTTCCTTAGCACTGTCAGCTGGGCATCTGTAATCAGAAACGCGTTGTGCTGTATTTGACTATAGTACTTAATAGCAAAAGGAGACTTCGATGTTGATTACAGCTTGCAGACAGGTAGCTTTTTCAAAGTTGAGAAAAACCTTACTTAAAAACTTTCCAACTGATTGGAAAACTTATGTTATAAAATGGAGCATATCCAGTTCTCACTGAGAGATTCAGCATTGCTTTGAGGGCTTATAAAAGTTAATTAGCAGAGTAAATTGTCTAGTGTTCAAGTTGAATACGTTTATCTGTTACGGCAGTGTGCAATGTGTTTTTGAAAAGTGGATCTTAATAGGAGTCCCAATTGCAGTGTGATTTACCTTCATGATATATTAAGACATATTATTATATAAGACTATTACTCTTTTTTGCAAAATAAGGTTTAGGAAAGTCTTCAGAATATTGGCAAATAAAGATGATGAAAAGTGACTTGTAAAGATTGATTGAGCCACAATGCCTTGCAAGACTAAAAAAGGCCCATTTTTCAAGGAACTCAAAAATTGAATCCGGGTGCTGGTTTTAGCTGCATGTTTATTAACCCGCTGGGCTCAAACCATCTTCTGTTGTATTACTATATTATGGCTGTAATATAACTTCTGTTATAAATTATTGTATATTCTGTTAAATTAACTTCTGTTCTATTATGGCTCGTGCTGCTTTACCTAGTGGCTTACAGCACCACGGAATTTACTAAATACTTAGTTTTGTGGGGTGATGTGCGGAAGACTTGTGCAAAGTGTACTGCTGTTAAGCAACATGTTTGCCACTATCAAAAAGTTGACAAATTCTTGCGAAAATGTTTTCCTTGTGCTATTCATTTTGCCTGTGGGTCTCTAAAGATTTCCTTTTCATTTGTCCGGTACAAATACCTTTGGAAAGGTTCATCCAGTTCTCCATATGTTCTACCTTCAAAAAAGTCAGGCTCTATGCCCAGAAGTATTTTAAGTCCAAATGGTTGTCAGTATGTGATTGTCAGCTTGTTGTTGTAGTTCTACATTATAAATCCAATCAACCAGATCTGTGACACTGACAGCTATTTCACTTTATCCTCTGCCTGCCCCCTTAACAGATGCAGGATTTTTCCTACAAGACTAAACCATGCAGAAAAAAATGGGGTATTTTGATCAAGGTTGCTACCTGATAATTTCTTTCAGAAGGCATGGTTCTCCTTGAAAGTTGGTTAAAAAGTGGCTTGGTTTTACTAGCAAAATACAGTCATGTAGTCCAGTTTTGACTTGGAGAAAGAGCAAATATAATGCTACTGAGTGCAAATTAAGTATTGCTTGACAGTATTGTGTTGATGCTATTTAATTTGCAGGGTGTGCATAGATTATAGTCAGGAGTCTTTCATCTCCTCTTAATGGCGCATAAAAGCTGTGGAGTAAGGGAATACTCCTTTCTCTCTGTTTTCATTTGCTGTTTGACTTGATCTTGAATTGGTGTTTGGTAAAAGCTTAAAGCAGTTGGGAATGGAAGGGAATTTTAAAAGGCATTGGGGTTGAGGGAGGACTCATTGCCTCTACAGCAGATAGGTAAAGAGCCTTACGTAGCCCTGGGGTCTGGGACAATGACTGCTCCAAGTGACACTCTCCTGTAGTATATATTAGACTGAATATCCAGCAGACAGCTTTCCCTTCCTCCTTCTGTATTGTTTTCAAGATGATGTGTTCACTGAGGACAACTAGCAAAATCATTGTTTGAAATTGGTTTGGGTGTAATTTCACACCAATATTCAGAAAGCAAACTAATGCGATTCAGAGAAGTGGCCTGTTACAAGAACATTGCAGATTAATTTTCTCAACCGAGTTTTCCAGGGGGATTCAGGTGTAATGTTTATTACACAGAAGTGTAATGTAAGTAGAAGTGTAGCCTTGTCTAAAGGAGCATCCAGGAAACTAAGAAAAGAGTGAAAAATTAAAATACCATTTTTTCAAGGCAAAAGAAAAAGTTTAATCGGGAGTTCAAACCTTTGTAGCAATTAGAGTGAAGCTGATTTTTAATAGGCAGGTATAGAGTATCCAAGTTCTACAGAACCTGTTTTGATAATAGCCTTATTTCTAAATTTATGACACTTGCATTGCTTATTTTGGGAAATAGTGTGGTGCCAATCGAATATGCCTTCTCTTTTAGTGACTGTTACATTTTTTTTCCACTTGTACACATTGATCAAAAAAGCCCCAACCCCCAAGCAAACTCTACTCTTACATTTCAATTGCCTAAAGATACGGGAGTCCTTTAACTTTTTTTTAGGGCAGACTGATCAGCCTAGTTTAGTATCTTTAAACATAATGTAGCTGGGGTATCCCAATAGTCTGTTTTTCCTGTTTCTTCCCATTATTCTTTGGATAATTCCTGTCTTTTCGTCTAGGGATGTATGGTTTTTTACAGTATTATAAAATTAGATACAGAACTTCATTAATGTTGCAGATTAAGGTGAGGCATTGATTAGTTTAAAAACATGACCTTTATTATGTGTCCTTAGTCATACTCTTCTTGAAGCCATCTAAAGATATAAGAAATACTGGGGCCAGAGGCTCACAGAAACTTCTGTAACAGTGGCAAATTTGCAATGTATGGATTTTGCCATGATATAGTCAGTTTACAAGATTCCAGAACCTGCTGGCAAGGTAGAGTTGAAGGCTATCCTATTTTACTAAGTACACTTACTACAATTTGCATGACTTGCAAAGTTTCCAGATGAGACCAGATCTTTGTATCCTTTGCCTTAATTTGGCCTTTGCATAGCGTCAAGAAAGGTATGTTCTTCATGTGACAGTAGTTTAGTCCAATTTAAGTGAAAAATGTAAGACCGGTTAATATTTGCAATGATAAATGATGCTTTCCACTGCTGTTAATCTTAGCACGATGATACGGGTATAACCAACATAGCAAATTCTGAAAGCCCAGGTTTCTGGTGGTTGACAGTACACCTGGAACCTACAACCTTGTGTCCTGTTTTTATAATCTTTCCCAAAGTACCTGTTTCTGGCCGTGCTAGCTATGGTGTTGGGCTGGACTTGTGTGGCCACGTCATGTGGTTTCTGTGCACATACCAATCTTGGAGTAAAGTGCATCCATTGAGACTGCCCATTTAGCCAAGGATGTTTTTTAAGTTTTTGTACTATGCACAACATAGAGGATATGAATTTGAACCTTTAAGCCTTACTGCAGTAGAGAGGGAGGTTTTAAATGACCTTTTAACAGTTTTCATCAGCTATTTCATTACTGCTTTGACAGAAAGAGAAAGGCCCTTTTTGGAATGGCTACTAGGAGAGCCTCTGGCCTGCATCTCTCTTGCCTTCATGGGCTAACCAGCAGAATGCAGACCTAGATTGTTACAGCAGAGGAAAACCAAAAGAGAAACAGTGTTACAGGTGTGGGAAAATGGTCTTCCTTCTGTTAACATTTTAGAGTAATTGTGTGGAGCTGAGAACTATGGTCAAGTTCAAAGCTATGGCTTCTTTAAGGTTTCATGCTGGTGTTTAGACTGTCGTTTCACACAAACCCCATAATGATTCCTTAAAAGAAGAAAACAACTGGTATTCCATTATTAATTGATTTAGGGTGACTCAAATCATACTGTAGATGGGGGGTTTTCTGCATAGGTGTGTTTTGAGTAGTAAGATTGTTTTTAAAAAGACAATAAAAACTTCTGGTGACTACATTATCTACTGAAATATTATAAAACAGGGCTTAAGAGTTTCACAAAACGTTTCCATTAAAAACACTTCCTCGTTTAAATATAGACAACAAATGCTTTTCTCATGCTTTCTATTTGCCTCTCCAGAAAGTAACCAAATTTCCCACTGGGAAGAACATCTGAGAGGCTAATTAGGGAGGCATGGTCAGCTTTTGGATGTTTGCTTTTCTAATACAAATACAGAATAACGAATGTGAACTATAAAGCATATGGTAATGCACAGCTCCAAAAAGCATTTATATGGCCATCAGATCCCACTCTGTAAGAAAAATAAGCTGTTCTTAATACATAGACTTACAAACGGAAAGTAGACTGACAACATCACGGAGTTAGTTTGAAGTGGCATGGTTTAACTTTGTGGGAGTGAAAGAACTTAATATTTTTAAGTCTTGCAGCAAGGAGAACTGGCCCACAGATTTTAAAATGTTCTAGCAGAGTTTTTTTTCTGTGTTCAAAAGCAAGGCTATTCACGTGAAAGCATGCCTTCATGACTGACCCACGGGATGAGGAGCCAAAGGCTTGGTGATTAGGGAAAAAGTATAAATGTTGGTGTTAATCCAGTCGGATTATCAGTCAGTGGTTGCTTTGGTGTTCTTACTCGTTTGCCCTCCTCCCTCTTCAACCACCCCTGATGCATGATCCAGGTTCCCAATAAGAAAGGCTTCTTCGCTTTCACGGTGCTTGTGCTCACCAGAAGTACAAACGCAGTGTCAACTGTCAGTGTTACCATTCAAAGGGGGTAGTGATAGAACCAGATGTGATCGCTGGCCTGGGGGCAGGGAGGGTCACAACTTTTTTTGGCAAGGATATGCTTCAGTTGCAAAAAGTCTTTAAAACCTGTTGTCTAAAGTTAGTTCTCAGATTATTTTTTAACTGAGCCAGCATTTGAAATAGATGGTGAGGAACTTCTTAATGACCACAAAGTTGCTTTGAAGGATGACAGCCAAGATCTAGTGACGTCAGAGCAAACAAGTTTATCCAAAGGTGATGCTCTTAAAAACCTGTTTTTCAGGCTGCTTTATTTTTTTAAACTGTTCTTCAGTTAGTGTTCTGTAATACAATTGTTTGTACTTTGAACAAGATTGAGGTCAGTTGCAACAGACTTTCTTTAAGCAGGTGTAGTCAAAACAGTTTTATGTGTTCAGGCTTTTTAAAATGATCATGTATTTTTGGACACCCTTCAATGGGAGGTATTTTACACCATCTATTGGAAGGAAGCAAGGAGAAAAGGGGAATTAAAAAGGTGATATGAAAACTAAAGTTACAAATGTGGAGGTATTTATATGCTATTGCTAAATGATAGTTAATGGCCTGTGGTTTGTATGGGCTCTAAACTAACAAAGGTAGATGTTTGATTCCCAGTTATAAACAGAAAATCCTGCCACTCCTTTTAGCATACATGTCTCTTCAAGTTCTCCTTGGGGGAAATAAATACATGAAATGATGCTGGGTATCGCATTTGTTAGGGAATGTGTTATTGCTACTCATGATCTAAAATACTTACGCAATGTGGTGTCAGAGACATTAGATTTGAGTGATCCTGAAAGTAGTCTCCTTTTTTTTTCAGCCCCAAAATATTCTACTAACCAGTAAGTCCCCTCTGGGAGACATTAAGATAGTAGATTTTGGCCTGTCCAGGATAATGAAGAGCAGTGAAGAACTGAGAGAAATTATGGGAACTCCAGAATATGTAGGTAAGTTGTTGCTATAGGAGTTGATGTGTAGGTCAGGCTTCTGAGGAGTGAAAAGAGAAACTCCCTCAATTTGGTGAATGCTGGACTGGCTGTGTAGCTACTGTGTCGAAAGATGAGGTTATTCCTTGGACGTGGTCCTGCTGTCAACAGTAGAACTGGCAAGCCTTGCTGGTCTAATGAGTGGTGCTTGTGTGCTTGCACTGACGATGAGTGCTCACTTCAGATGATTCTTAACAGCAGCAATAACAAGTATTGCTTGGATTAAAAGTTTAAAATTACATATTCAGTCTCTGAATAGAATATTTTAGCCTGTGGAGGTTTGTATCCATTTTATTTTTTAAAGAAACTGTACTTGAAGCCTTGAAAATGTACCTGAAAATATCTTAAGTTGTATGGTATATCTTTATGGGCATGGTTTTCAGTACTGGAGTATGGAATGTTGGATATTTCTGATTTTTTTCCATAAGAAATTTGTATGGAGCTTCCTTAATTGCAAAGGAGACTGGCCTGGCTTCTGAAGATGACAATAATAGGAAAACAATTTTTAATTGTTTTGTTTTACTTAGAACCAATGAATGATAATAATCACTTGAATAGAAATATCTTGATTTCAAAAGACTCTCATGCCTCAAATGGCTTATCTTAAATTTTACCACATACCCATTATTGTGCTATATAATTACAATATGATGTCTGCATGTGACAAAAAAACCCTTGTTTTTCTTCCCCATGAATAGCTCCTGAAATTCTGAGTTATGACCCAATCAGTACAGCAACCGACATGTGGTAAGTTGAAAAGTGGGTTTTTTTTATAAAACAAACAAACAAAAAAAGCTGTACCAAACTAAAAAACTGCTTTTCTGTGTTTTCGCTTTTAATTTAGGAGCATTGGAGTACTGGCATATGTTATGCTAACAGGGATATCGCCTTTCTTAGGGGATGATAAACAAGAAACATTCTTAAATATATCTCAAATGAACGTAAGTTACTCTGGAGAAGACTTTGACCTCATATCAGAGTCTGCTGTGGATTTCATCAAAACTCTGCTGGTTAAGAAACCTGAGTAAGTAAAATACACAATTGTACATGCTAATATGTCAGGGTGGATTCTTTCTGAATGTAGCAAGTGTGGCATTTTCATTTTTAAAGTATAAGGGAACTTTGATTATTCATATTTCGTTGTGCTATTACCTTTATGTATATGAAGAGAATTCTTCCATTTCCCTCCAAACTTGCATATTCTGAATGCGTCCAAGTGTTAGTAATTAAAACTCTAATTGATTTCAGAAAACTGTATATGAAGCATAGCACATGGTACAGTTTACTGACTTCCGTGGCAGGTTAGCTGATATTTTTAAATGAACTGTGCTTCGAGCCTTTTTTTTTTTTATGAGTTGGTAGAGTACCTTACTCTTTTTCTGTTTTGTTAGCATGCTTTGCTCAACAGGCAGCAAACTGGAAATTCCAGGTTTCAGAAGAGATGTTTTTTGTGGAACTTCACCGCTTCTTCATGGGGAATGTCAGCATTTGAAATTGCCTACAGCTTGTCTGTGGGAATACTTCAAGAATGCAAGGACTGGATAATTTTCCTATATATGTATATAAAAAAAAAAATCTGTATAAACTTTGGAAGTTGGTTGGCAACATGGGAGCAAAAATCTGCTATTTAAGGATCTATGAACTCTTATTTTAAATGTTAAGAGTTCATCTCCTTGGGCTGCTGTTGCACATAGCTATCAGCACTTTTTTTGAAGTTCTGTAAGTCTGTCTTTAATACAGTCACATCCTTGGAATAATTTGCATGGATTTCTCCTGCAAGGTGCTAGATTTCAAATCCATTTGGACATTTATTTTGATGCTTTCCTTCCTCTGCAGGGACCGGGCAACGGCTGAAGAATGTCTTCAACATCCATGGTTAGAACAAAGCAATAATCCTGCTTGCAGGGCCTGGAATAAGAGTACAGGAGGAGAGACCAGTGATGTCACCCAGAAAGATGCAGATTCTGCCTCCGAAAAATCAGTAGATGCTGAGAAGACTGAAGAGGAAGAATCAATAGTGACAGAAGAACTAATTGTAGTGGCTTCATATACACTGGGACAATGTAGGCAGTCAGAAAAAGAAAAAGTAACTGAGCAGAAAGCCATTTCCAAACGATTTAAATTTGAGGAACCGTTACTGCAAGAAATACCAGGAGAATTCATTTACTGAACTGTGTGGAGCTTCTTAGCTGTAACTGGAAGGCAGTGTTTTCTACTAAACAAAAATATCCTAGCCAAGTGAATTTCTGATATGCAATATATGTTCTAGATTTAAAAAAAAGTTGGTAAGTGGCATCTGAGGAAAAATGTGCCAAACTTTTAATTTCATGGAACAGATAAGCAAGATTTCAAGTGGCTGACAGGAATTTAACAAAGATAAAGAGCTTATTTTTGTTTGTAATTTTTATTTCTGGCGATTTTTTGTTACTTGATAGCAGAGTTTTTGTTAATTGTTCCAGTGTTCTGGAGAAGTTGACATTGGAAGTGTTTCAGTGACTGATGTCAAGAGGATTATTTTAGGATATGTTTTGGCATTTAATGCAAATATATAATGCTGGGTTTTCCTCAAACACCTTTTAGCACCCTCGACTTCAGTGGAACTATCTACTGATCTAAGAGGAGAATTTGATCAGCTGGTTTGACATAGAGATTTCAAAGTTATACTGTGTGTAAATATTTCTCTGTTTACATCAAGTCAGAGACTCACATTCATCTGGTGTGTAGCCACCCAGTGAGATGTGCTTCTCTAGGAAGACATGTACATGTCCCACAGGTGAAGAAATCTGTTGTGGGGAATGATTCCAGATCACAGTGGTGATACTTCTTTACTTGGGAGCACAGTAAAATCCTGTTCCAGAGGGTGATGAATTTGCTTTGGTCACTCTTGAGAGCCAGCAGACAGCTCCCTTCCCCTCCTGTGTTGGGCGAGATGTGCTCATAGAGTCCAGCTCAGGGTGACTGCACAGTGTTTGGAAAAAGAGGGACAGAGGCTCTGATGTAGCTCTACTGAAGTTCTTTCCACTGGCTTCACATTAGAGCAGACAGTTTGTCCAACTCATGATAAATCAGCCCTTGGTTCCACCTCCCCCAGAACCTGACTGGGGTTTTACTGGGAGCATGAGGTCATTTCTGCCTTCTTTCTGTTCCTCTAACCATTGCTTTAAGGAAGAAAGAAGCATCCTTAGGCTAAATTGCATAACCTTGTTCAATATAGCTATCCGATGAGGAAGATGCTGCTGCTTCCTCTGAAACGATGAAGCACAACTCATACCTCGCGCTTCCCCATCACTCTCCGTAGACACTTGGAAAAACAGCATGTGTGTGATGGGGCAGAGTGGGACTGGGGAGCTGGGTGGATGGGTCGTAGTTCTGAACAGACACGGTCCCTCAGAGGATAAAGCTGGGACCAACTGGGCGTCAAAATTGACTGGTTTTTGCAATGTATAGGTCTGAGGATCTCGGACTGAGTCCTAGTTTTCCGAGAAATCTTTCATATTGATGCTGTTCCAAAGTTTAATTTTTATGTAATTGAAGTTTAGTACTATTATATTGCATACTGTTAACTATTCAACTATTTATTTGGTTTCCTTATGCTGTTCCTTTATAATAAACCCTGACAAAAGTTTTCTTGCTATAAAACAATGAATAGAAACTCTTAAGCTACTTTTTCCTTTTTATCCATGTTGCTACAGACTTTCCTAGTTTCAAATGTTGTGAGAATGTTCTTAACTTTTTAGTGAGCAGGAGTTCAGTGTTCTGTGCTAATATTACAGTTCCTCCTTCACACAAAAGGTAAATGGCTTATTAATGACACAAGCAGTATTGGGGTGATCTGATTTGGTGTTGCTGAAAGGGTGGGAGAAAAAGCACTAGGAAAGAAGAAAACTGAACCAAAAGCAGCATGACACTGATCGGGGCAGAATTTTTCCAAAAGGCTTCATTGCCAGTGGTCTGGTTGCCTTCACTCAAAGCCGCATCAGAAAAAGTGCACCTAAATCATTTTCTTTGGCTTCTTCCCCTATGGAATTACCTATTGAATATTCATGTAGGTGGGACAACTCCTCATTCCTTGGAGACCTTCATACAAGAAAACATCCACTAGTACTCATAACTGAGTGTGGATATGGTTTATACTGTAATGTGGAGATGCCTTTCAGGCTCTGGAGAAAGGAGTCTGCTGGTTTTTCCCCTCCTGTGGACAGTAACCTCCAGACTCCTCCTGAGAGGCCACCACACAAGGTTGTCTGGGGTAGCTGTGCCTGGCCATGAGTTTAACAAGAACCCTTGGGCCAGCAGAGTAGTGGTGTTACCGGGGGGCTTCTGGGGGTGGATGGGGGCTGTGTTACTGCCTGTCTGCTGACCCTGCCTACACTGCTCACCTGTTTTGGGTTTTTTCACAGCCATCCTGCTTTCACTGCTTAGCCATGTGCCTGAGACACTGCTTGGGTGAGAGCACATTAACTTACAAAATTCTTTTGTGCAAGATTACAATTTCTCCCAATGTTTGTTGCTGCCATTTTGACTTCTTTTTTTCATGTCTTTACTCCCTTGCTTTTACAAAGCTGAGCAAAGTGCTGAGGGGGAAGCGTGCCTGCATCCCACCCTTACAAACCAACGCATCTCCATACCTGAATGTGTCATAGCTCGTGGCTGCTCACAGCAAATCACTTGAGGGACGTTTACCTGTTTCAATTCCTATTCGTAACCACAGGTCATGTCTTAGGTGGGGACTGGTAATGAAAAGAGTAGATGCTGAGCAGCATACATTTTCTCCTATATTTACTGTTTTTAATGTATGACAATGAAGCTTAACGTATATAAATGAACGATGTACTTATTACAAGGCCAGCTTTTCTTCAATTGGCTGCTTTGAGATTCCCAGTGGGCTGCATTTCTGTTTAACTTTTTGTGCCTTAAGGTGGTTTTGTACAGTGATTTTCTAACATTAAGAATTTGTATAAAGTTGTGACAGTTTAATAGTGTAAGTTATAAACAAGACATCTTAGAATGGCCCTATAGTAGGAAAAATTTTCTGTAAGGTTTAACTGTGGGACTATCAGCCGGTCCCACACACTTGACGCGATTTCTGTTTGGCTGTAAGTGTGGGTGAAACTGTTAATGAGCTGTTCTTACCCTGCACTGCAGTAAGGGGCTGTTGAGGTTGATGTTTCTGAGAGGCTTAGCTACTGGTGGAGTAACACATTCAGGCTGGGAAGGCATCACTAGCTTGTGAAGAAGAGCTGATTTTCTGCAGCTCTCTGAATGCAGAGGTCTGCGTGTACATACACAGTTCATCTGGAAAAAGGGCTGCTTATGCCTGAAAGCGTCTGTGGGGAAGGGGAGGGAGTTGTAGAGGAGGAATCTGCTCCCGGGCCGCAGTAGGCAGTGAACGCTATGTCCCTGCTCTCTGGCTGGGCACCTGCTGCCTAACGCTGGGAAGCTGAGAGGAATGGAAATGTGGGTGTTGTCAGAAACCGCTGGAGAACTGTTATCTCCATGGCTCTGAAGGAGAGGTGTGACCTAGAGCTATAGGTGGGGGGCGTCCAGGCCTATGTGTCTGTTGCAGCTGTTGGAATAAACAGCAAACACCTCGTTGCAAGCAAAGCCTTGTCTCCTCTCGTTGCTATATTCACCTCTTTAAGAAAGGGGCTGTAGATTTTGTAATCATTAAACTAAAATTTCAAAAAAATTCTCCTTTTGCTATCCAAAGCCGAATTTGCATGGTGATTTGTCTCATTTCTTACACTTTTCAAGTGAGGATCCGTAAATACAAAAGGGTGAATTTCAGCTTGCAATCTGCCAGGTGAAGCTTGAGGGCTGTTAGGAAATGCAAATAAAAATTAACTGCCTGTTCTCCACTGGTGGTGCTGGCGGGGAACAGGGAGGAAGGTGGGCCTTGCACCAAGTTATTCCATGGCTTAAGAGCGCTCTTGAATATTCCAGGGACTGTTCCTGGAAGGCAGTTTGACATTTTAAAGAAATAGTGCCAGTTCATTGTACTTCTGATAAGGTGTTTACTGTTTCAGGAACTTCACAATAAATGAAATTTTGTTTTCTGAACAGCTGCTGGGTCTTTTGTTCTTCACACATTGGGAAACACTTTCAAACATATATTATGGTTTTTAGAAAAACTATTTTCTTCAAGACAGCATTACTGATTTGAAACAGAATTCCAGAAGTTATGCAGGTTTGCTGGGAGCAGGATGATGTCTGGAATCTATAGTAAAGCTGGAGTACATGACTGCCTTGCAAACTACTGCAACTTCAACTCTTCTGTGGTCAATGAATGCACACCTGCATGCTTGGCCTTGAAAATGAGCTAGAAATATATTGCTGGGGCTGGGTCCTGGTATGTCAGGTGGAGTCTCCTCTTCAAAAGCCCTTGTTTTTCTCCAAGGACTTCTGTAAAGTTATTTTTCTCAGCACCCATGTAGCATGATTAATGATAGTTTAATTTTCTGAACTACACGTTTGTTCAATTTGTGCAGCAAATATAAAATGCACCAATAATCTTTTCTACTCTAAAGCAATCTCCTTGCACTCTGAACATCTCCACAATACAGTATTTACCAATGTTGAATTAAGCTGTGCTGGGGATTAATAAATAGAGTCACCTTATCCAAACAAATCTTCCTATTGTTTTTTTGGTTTTTTTCTTGGTGGATATGAAACATAGTGCTATATTGCCATTAAACTTAGAACTGCTATTTCAGATGACTGACAGGTGGGGAGAATGACCTACCTGAAGATGTAGGGTTGGAAAATGGTATTTAAAGGCTAGAGTGTGGTGTGTGGTGGAGGACAGCTGCATATCCAGGCCAGGGTGGAGCAGATGCACATCAGCATTAATCCAGGTTTAAGGAATTGTGCTGAGATCTCTGCTCTGTGCAACTAACATCCCCTCTGAGGTGCACTGGGCCCAGAACTCTGTTACTTGCCTGATGTGACTTCCTGTGGGGAAATACAGAGCATCAACTGACTACGTGCTGGGCTAGAGAACTATTTCCTCTTCTAACACTGCTTAATTTCATTAATTGTTCCTGTTATAAAACAGCTGACAACTGGATAGCTCTGTAAGAGTCAGATATTTTGGTTCCATAAAAATACAACCTGGAAGCTTTATAAAAGGGGGGAAAAATTAAGCCCATATGGGTGTGATAAAAATCTTAATTAAGAAAAGGTTAGGATTTGTCAAAGTGTAGCAGAACCTTAGTACCACAACAGTTACTGCAAAATTAGGAGAGGAAAAGGAATTTAAGGACTTGAAGGTATTATCTTTTTTCCTGTAAACAGAGAGAAAATTGCACTGAGTCTTTGCTTGCTGGTGCAATCCGAATATACAGCTCAGCATGTGTACCCCATCTCTTCAGTTATTTGTCATCCCAGTGTACAGACTGAATTAGGTGCCTTTTAACTAATCCTCACAGGAAAATCTCCCAAGCTGTTGAGGTATTACCTTACTGACTGCCACCTTCCACGAGCACCCTCTGAGATGGAAGTTCTTGTTGTGGGCCTTGCCAGGCAAAGAGAGGCAAAGGCTGTCTCTCAGAAGTTGTTGAGTAAAGGTTCTAAATCTTCTAGGCAAGCCAGTTAACAGGAACTGCATTAAACTGGTCAAGAAATGACCTGATTCTTGTATTTTTATATACTTGGCACTACATAAAGTGAACCAAAAGTGTTTAGCCAGGTGTGATGTGTCTTCCAAAGTAGCACAAACAGTGTGATAGGTCTCCACTACTGCTGGTGGTGGAGGACTACCTGGGCTATGCTGCAGGGAAATTTGTAGGAAATTTTGCAGAAAACATGCAGAAAAATTATTTTTCTTTGACAAGCAAACAAGGTGCAGGCAAATGGTGGCAAAGAACTAGATGTACCCTCATTTCTAAATGGGAGATGAAGCCAAATGACTAATGTTCTCCCTGCAAGGCAAGACATCTGCCCAAAGTAGGAAGTGAACTGACAGGTCCGCAAGTTGGACAAAACTGTATTGCTACCTGGAGAAACATACTCAAAAGGGAGGGCATCAGACCACTTAGCCTGTATGAAGCTAGTGATTTTAAAACATTTGGTTTTATATAGCTCCTGTGTGCTCATCGGGTCCAACTCAAATAGGTGCAAGCACTGTAACAGTCTGCTAAGCAATATTTGTTGTTCCTCAGCTGTAAATTAAGTTCTTGCCCTGAACAGCCTGCTGCCTTGATAGTTTCCTTGAGGGTGATGACAGCCTGGCAGAAGCTATTAAAATCAAACTAGAGAGTAAGAAACAAACACGCAATCCAGCAAAGGTCACGAAGATGATGGTGGTTTTAACCACACCGACAACTGGAAAAGGAACTATGCAAATTTTCAAGCCAATTTAAAAGAAATTATTTAACATACTGAAAATTATTACGACAATTAAAAGATTGCAGCACCTGTTAACGAGGCTGAGAGACCTGAGCTTGTCAGCCTGGAGAAGAGAAGGCTCGGGGAGGAATCTTAAAAGTGCGTGTAAATACCTGTGGTGGAAGAGTAAAGAGGATGGAGCCAGGTTCTTCTTGGTGGTGCCCAGTGGCAGGACAAGAGACAATGGGCACAAACTGAAACACAGGAAATTTGGTTTAAACATAAGAAAATGCTTTTTTTACTGTGAGAATGGTTGAACACTGGTACATCTTGTCCAGAGGTTGTGGAGTCTCCATCCTTGGCGATCTTCAACACCTGAATGGACGCAGGCCCAGGCAATCTGCTCTAGCTGACCCTGCTGTGAGTAAGGCTGTTGGAGCAGATGATCTCCAGAGGCTCCTCCTGATCTTAGTTATTCTGTGATTAGAAAAGCATGGCTTTCTACAGGTTGGGGGGTAGGGTCTTTTATCAAAAGATTGATATTTTCTTGATAAAAATGAAATTTTTTTCCACACTGGTGCTGAATGACATGCAACACAATATCGTTATAATGAATTAGTGCTTCAATGACCTAATAAAGTAAAATACAACCTAACCTGCTCCAGTGTTCCTCAGAAGCCTGCAAGGGGTGCCCAGGTGCCCTCTTGAAGTTACTTGTTTTTTCAGCAGCTGCTGGTGGTTCTGAGACCTTTGCTCTTCCCTTTTTCCTGGCATGTTCCAGCTCTGTTGGCTGCTCCTGCTGCGCCTGCTAGAAGCAGGAGCTGTGGGCTGTGGTGTATTTAATGGGAGCCACGAGGCCAAAGCACCTCGGTGTTGAACGCACCAGCCTGCTGCTTTTTTCTCCTTTTGAATATGTGCTTCTTAAAAGGCCTCAGAAAGGGAGAGGAAGTGGTTACTGAGGCTCTTCAAGGTCAAGTGGTAAGAAATTCTGTGTTTGCTATTAGGTAGTAAAATAAAAGCAGGGATTTAAATGTAACTTTTCTCTTTTTCTACTCTAATCTGCTGGCTTCCAGCTCCACGCATTGCTTGCTTTCACCTCCAGGTTTAGAGTTGATTTAGAGAAACCTCGGTATGGTATGATGATACTGTCCATCCTCACAGCTCTGATGAACCCACAGTTTGGTTAGGATGATCAGGAGTGCCTCAAGTTAAAGGGACACTCTGCTAAGCCTCAGGGTGGGAAGTGAAATATGCAACCTGTTCAGGGGCTCTGCTTCCTCAAGCAAGGTCATAAAATCTGCAGTGTTACTGGTAATGTTTGTGTGGGGATGCCTCCCTCAGGCCCGGGACACCCAGGGTTAGAGCCAGGCCAGGCGGTGGTATTGTGGCGCAGCAATTTGCGAGGCCAGAGCAGGGGCATCACCCGTGCCAGCTCACGAGATGGAAGGGTGGTGAGGAGCGCTGTGCCGTGGGCAGGGCTGGTTGTGGCCGGATTTCCTGGACATCTGTACACCTTGTAGCTGCTGCAGGTCCCAGGGTTACGAAGCACCCAGCGGTGACAAAAGGCAGGTGTGTGGCAGTGTGCCAGATGCTCCTAGCACAGACACGGGGATTGCATGGGCTGGGGTTGCTCTCAACAACCACAGCTTCTTTGGAGATGGGTGATGAGTCAAAGCTGCAGCCAGGGAAGTGATAATTGATGGATGAAATGGTTGGTTTGTCTTTTCCTTGTCAACTGTTTGATTCCCCACCAAACTTCTTCAGTGACCAAAGGCCAGAGTTGCCCAAGCTCTAAGACACCAGGTGGCCGAGAGAGCTCCAAGTCTCCCAGGTGGTTTTCTTGCTAGGTGGGCTGCAGTAGTGAAAGCCTAATGTTTGTAAATCACACAGTTTGTATTTTGTTTTGTGAAACCAGATAGGAGTGATTTCAGTCTTAAAGCTGGGAGTCTCTCCTTCATTCATCCTAATCCTTCCCCTGGCATGTTGGGCATTCTTAAAGGTTGGATCAGGTCACCCAAGTGCTGTTCATCCTGGCAGCTCTTCTTGAGTCCCACAGTGAAGCTCATGTGTATTGTTTCCTTGTGAAATAGTTTGTCCAAGATGCCTTTGATGTGGTCCTTTAGTATCTCCTTCTTTCTACTCTGGCATGTGCTCTTCAGACTTGTTCAAGAGCCACCTCAGCCAGTTTGCTGGGTCATTTTTGAGAAGGAAAATGCTCGTGGGCCTTTTAATGATCCTTTGCTCCAGCTCTCCCTTCTCTATCTAATACTCGTTCACTCTTGCAAACCTTTGGTGGATTTCTAGGACTCAAATTTGGATGTCGAGTTGGAGGCGGGGCGGGGGGGGGAAAGGAATTCAGTGGTATGAGCTCTGAGCCTTCCTTAGCTGCATCTCTATTAAGCTGCTCTGTTACAGTAAATCCAAAATACTCTTCCTTGTGGACTTTCTTAATGGTTTGCATGGAACTTCATGATATGAAGGCAGGACGGTTACTTGTGTCTCTTCACTGTCTCAGATGGTGCTTTAGGCTTTGCAATTGTTCAAATTTGCCGTTTGGGGCAGGGGGTAGAAACAGGGGGAGGTTTGGTGGTTTGGTTTTGTTTTGTTTTCCGGTTATTCATGGTGACAGTCAATTCTCTACCTGGCTGACAGAATCAAGGCCCAGTTAAAATCCCTTGTAGTCAGAGTGAGACATGGCAGTGTTTTACCCCTTCTGCACCTCCTGGGTGTTTTCCTCCCTACGTAAACACGTTCTCCTGACCTCATGTTGGGCAGTGCTGGTGTGAAGCAGAGGCTTCTGAGTAACCTGCAGCATGAGCAGTGAACCTCTTCCTGGAATTCAGAAGTTACAGCGAGTGGCCCCAGCTATGTCATGAACTTTTTAATGATAACTGCAAGGGTGCAAATCTACCTGACGTGACTCATTCATTAGGAGTGGAGGGAGCTGCTGCTGAGCTTCACCTTCACTGATCCGTCCCTCCTGCTTTAGGTAACACCTTGTTGAGAAATGGGGGGGAAACCAAAGCAGCTTTGAGAAGCTGACTTAGTCTTGCAGCCATGATGGAGCAGCCCAGCTGTCCTGACTGTGGTCTGCAATTGCAGAAAAGTTCAGTTTCCTGGCACTTTGTTTATTTATTTCAAATTCATAATACCAGCACACATGGGGCATAACGCATGACTTCTCTGGAACAGCAAGTCTTTTGCAAGATATTTATTTTAGGCTTTGGCTGAACACATGAATAAACCAGCAAAAGAAAGAAATTACAATTATGACAATGATGAGGTCAATCTTAGAGAGAAAATTGTCTTGAGAGCACCCACTTAAGTGAAATCGTTGCTTGTGACAACTGTGTAGGTTCACGGACACAGCAGGAGGCAATCGATTAATGGCTCCTTTGGCTCAATGGGAGGTGGAGAAGCAGCTGCCTTTGATTTTTTTTTTAGCCTTCTTGCACACCAATGCTTTCCATCGGGGAGTGGTAAACAGGAATATTCTGACCATCCCGCAGTTTTAAGGTGACATCCTGAAGGCACCAGCTGACAGAAACCAAAACAGATTTTTTAACTTATTTCAATCACTTTTAATGTAGTAGTAAAGTCAGTGTAGAAACAGCTGGCATGGTGAAACAAATCATTCCACGCATTCATTGCTTTTAAAAATACTCTCAAGTGTTTTAAAACTTGGTTTGCGAGTGCCAGCTTCTGAAAGCTGTTTTCTCTAATAGTGTAGCACAGCCCAGATTTAAAAGTCTGGGATGCATGTTCCTATTTGCTGCAACTCAAATAAAATCCTGCCAGCTATTTTTAGACAGGACATTCCTCCCCGGACTCAGTGCCTTTCTTCCTCTCCATCCTGCGGGTGCATTCCTTGCTCTACTCCTCTCCAGCCTTGGAGCCAGACCGTGTTGCTAAGGAATTATCCTGGCTTGGAGGAGTTTGAACACTGTGTGATCGCTCAACATGACGGCTGAAACCCTGACAGGGTACGATGGTGGTTACTCAGAGAAGGAAAACTGGAGGCTGAGGGGGGAGCCTTTTCCTTCCTCTAAGCTCTGCTGTGAGACTGACTACTCATCCGGCTTTTCCAGCTGGGAAGGTCTATTATTTTGGGGTACTAAGATAGAATTTTTTCAAAAGTTCCTGGGCTCGCCCAGCTCCGCTTTAGCTGGAGTACACACAATTAGGTAATTAGGTGGCCACACCTCTGTGCGACTGGTCCGCGGCAGGGCTCTTCCCTCACCAACCCTCCGCCTCCATCCGACCCGGGATGAGCAACTGCCTGGTTTATAACAGGGCTTGAAGGAGCAAGTGCTGGCTCCCCCCAGCCTGGCTTGGGGTCTCAGCCCTTCCTCCTGCTCACTGCGGGGCAGGCAAGTGGCGCTGTGCAGGACTGGTGTCTGGGTTGCCCTTGCCTCTGGCCTATCTCCCCAGCCCCGCACTGCCTGCGCTGGGGTGAATACCGCCTCCTCCAGGTCCAAACCAGGTCACGTACACTAAATTTCCCTTTTTTCAGTTACCTTCCTTTTTTTAATAACCACATAAATAAATAAAGTGCTATGGACAGACAGTACCCTCAGCGTCAGGAGCGGTTCAGTGGCTCAGGAGCCTCAACTACGCTTGCCCACAGCGTTCAACTCCTGGCACCGTGTACCTGTGTCTGCATGGGTCTGGCTGCTCCTCACACTCTGCAGAGCCCCACCAGGATGGCCAGCTTACAGGTTTGTCATTGCTATAAGGGATTTTGGGAGCTCCTCTTCATGAAGAAGATGGGAACCCACCATTTTACGCCGAGTTTCCTCAGCCAGGCACAAGGACACCAAGTCCTGTCTAGCCTTGGGTGGAGCTTGCGCGGGGCCCCACATGTAGGTGGAGATGGTAGAGTCTGACAGATTTGTCTGCCACAAACCCTGTTACAGAAGATGGTTTTTTTTTTCTTTTTTTCCCTCTTAAGCTTGCAGAAATGCATGGAGACCTCTATTTAAAGCAAAACTCCTAGAGATATGTATGCACTTCAATTACTGCTGTAGTTTAACACCTGCAATCTTCAGTTATCCTCACAGTAACTTGGCGAAACAGGAGGGAACAGCTATTTCCCTCCATCTGTGAGGAAGGAATAAGGACGAGTGAGGAGATCAGAGCCCTGGCTCCCAGGGAAGTGCAGGTGTGCAAGAAGGGTGGTTGGGGACCTCTGGGGGTATCTCTGGTCACTAGGGAGGAGGAGCCTCTCACGTCCCAGTCTAGTGCCTTCCTCCCATCATTGTACACCTTACTTCCCATAGTTATTGTGGAAGAGAATTCCAGCAAGTTGTGCTCATCTCACTATGAAAAGAAAACATTACCATATGGGTGGTGGCAGTTGAGCAAAAATGCTGTAGCTTTGAGTTTCTAAACAGAGCTGATAGAAGTGCCTAGCAAACTCCAAGAACAAGTACATGCGGGGACGTTTGCATCTAATGAAATTTCCTCTTTTGCAATGGAAGATGGACTTTGACTTTGTGTAATAATTCTCTGCTTAGCTCTAGAAAACATTTACCCTTGACAAGAGAGGTTTTCAGGCTTCACTGCTACGAATATGTAAAGTCGCTACTACATGATGTGGAGTCAGAGCATCTTCCTACTGTAATATAACTGTTATAGCACTTTTTTTATTTTTAAACTATAAAGACTGTGTTTGTTGGATAGCTTAAAAAAAAATCCTGTATGATTTTTAGCTCACCTAGTCAGGTTCTGATGTAATTTGTAAAATAATTTCCCTACTGCAATACGTAATACTAGACTGGAGCTGAGACTGCTGTTCAACGGTCTTGCACCTTCTGGGAGAGGAGGGGTGGGAGGGGACAATACGTTACCTTGGCGCCCTATATTTGTATATATACTGAGCTATAGCTTGCAGAACACACTTCACACAAATTAATGGCTCATGTTGTTCTTCTTTTTGTACTCATAGGGATGAATTAATATATTTCTCAACTAATTTACATTTTTTGTCATAATGACAGTAATAACCTTTCACAAGACCTTCAGACAAGAATTTCCTCTTCCTTGGTGTGCATGATCTCAGCCACATGGATTACTAACACAAATATCCTGCTCCACTCTCTTCTCCTACCACTTCTCTCCCTGCATTTATCTGCTTCTCCCAGCACCTCCCCAGTACGCACCACTGGCGGGCATGGTCCATCTCTGAGTTAATGTAGAGGTACCCCGCTGATTTTGTTCCGGATACCGGTAACTTTATCTGCAGATGTAAAAGTAAGTTAAAGATTCAGTGAAGCATGCTACTGAAATGGACATGTACTCCTTCTACAGTCAAAGATGCAACACCTCCCTTTTAACTTAAACTCTTTTTCCTTTTTTTAACATATTTCAGAGTTTCACTAGGCTTTTCTAACAGCTAAGGTGTGCATGGCTATACAAGTATGCCTGTTCTGCCATACATTAATCTCTCTCTGCTGAAAGAATGCAGTGTGCTACAGCTGCAACCCCCAGGGAAAACCACTCGCTCTCTGAAATATTTACGAGCAAACACCTCTCCTTACCAGAATGCACGGTGATCCAGAGGTGACCTGCACTGTGTCAGAGCTTCCCATAACCATAACAAGCCTGTAGGTTGAGATCCTCTACAGATCAGTCCATTAACATGCATCAAGGCAATGAGACATTCAAAGATTTTTGTCAGCATCACAAATTCTGCCACTCAGTTGTTTAACAAACAAAGCTTCAGCACTGACCACAGCTAATTGCACTTGGTATAAAGTTTGAATAAAATAAATGTTTCAGGTTTAGTGTTTGCTGATGGTATTGCCATCACAAAGGGAAAATACTAAGGGTTCTCCAACAGGCCCAGGAGCTGGGAATGTTGTGGAGTCAGTAAATTGATCTATGATATAATCACTAATGATTAACTAGTTTATTTTGCGAGAACATGAATTCTCAGGAGCATGAAAATGCGGAGAAGAAAGTTGGTGGTTTGTGTCTTGGGTGAGGTCGGCAGAAGGCAGGGTTTGACTTCACCCTGAGTCACCCAAGAGACCAGCATTCTTAAACAGTGACACAGGAACATATTGGTGGGACAGGTTCTCTTCTTCTTTTCAATCAGCATAAGAGGTTGTGCATTTTCCCCACATTTGTGTTCTTGGATATGCTGCCTGGTAAAATCTCTAAAACCTGGGAAATGTTTTGACCCAGGGTGTCATGTGGGCGAAGCCTGGCTGGAGTGAGATAGAAAGTGGAATTTTTTGTGACTTGGCTGAAAGTTGATTTTGGGGTTTTTTTGTGTGTGTCCTGATGGCCCCTCTCCTTCACTGCACCATTTGTCCCATTCCTTACTGCCCTTGCTTGGTCCCCAGGACTCCCAACAACTCACTGGGAGGTATAAAATGATGCAAATGTGACGAGATCCCTCAATGTGTTGCCTGGAGAGGACTCTAGAGACATTTTGCATCACTAGCAAAACCAGGAAAGGGCAGCCAGCCCTGGATTAAGGGGTAAAAACACTGATGAAAAGTCCTTTTCAGGCAGCAGCCCAAAGTGGAAGCGGACTTGTGTTTGCAAAGCTTGCCTCGGCCCAGCCCTGGGCTGATGCAAGGCAGCCTTGTGCAATGCTTCAGCACCCGGCGCAGCATTCTCCAGCCACTACGTAACTCCAGCGCTCAGCCCCACGCTGGGCAGCCATCCTCCACGGCACAGATTTACAGGTGCTTTTAAAAACCACATCGTTTATGCTGTACCACAGCAGAGCTCGGAAGTGGCTATAAAACTCTTGTTCTGAACAAAGCTTTAAAAACTAGCATGGGATGTATCTGGGCAGGGGAGAGGGGCCAGCTGCTATTTTAAAGCTGGGTCTGATATGTTTCTGAAAATGATTTTGTGGCTTACAGTAGCAGGAGGGGGATCAACCGGCTTGGGAGGTCCCTCGGCCTTCTGTGATATGCCCATATAGTACCATGTGAAGGTGCTGCTCTTGCTGTTTCTAGTCCCTCAGAGCGTAGATTTATGCTCTGGAAATGTGTCCCTATTTCAAATCAACTGGCATCCCATCCTACCACCTTCCAGTGCCCCCAGGTGACTCATGACCTGCTGCAAATCCCCCGGCCGATCTTTTCTCACCCAAGGCCTTGGGAAGCCACCCTGTGACACCACCTCCCCAGCGTTACCTGTGCTCTTTCTGTGTCCACACGATTACTCCCATCTGTCAGTCGGATGTTGTGAACCTTGAGAGGGGGAGCACCCAGGGCTTCCAGGGCATCGGGATGGCTGTTCAGTTGCTCTAAAGCCTGCTGGTAATACTGGGTCCTGGCAAAACTTTCTAGGTGAGAGAAACAACGTAATGAGGAGACTGTCCACTTGAAATCAAAACATAAAGAGACATTTGCTCCAGACTACCACACCCTCCCTGAAAACCAGTCCAAAACTATTGATCAGGAGAAATTTGGCTAAAGGATGAAACACGCTCTTACACCAGAGAAGCAGTGCTGTACTGTAATGTTATTCAGCTCATTTAAGTGAAGAGGGCTCTGAATATAGCCTATTCCATACTGATATACAGTTCAGCTTATGGCTGTGCTCCCTGCTTTTCATACATTTGTACATAATCTAGAAGGAATAACAGGAAAAGAAAAAAAAAAAAAAGCGTAATGTTGAATATCTGAAAATGTTCTGAATGTAATTCAATTATTTTTAAAGGAGGTATAGAAAATACTTTAAGAATGGATGCTGTTTTACAGACATTGGTATGAGACGGGAAGAGCTGCTGTGAAACTCTTCCTGTGGTCTTGCTACAGCTTTTCAAGTGGCAGCCATGAAGCTGCAACTCTACGAACAGATGCATGAAAAGAGGGGCACAAAGAAGCACCTTTAGAGTTAATGGTCAAGCAGCAACAATAGGATGGTAGACTGGATGCTGCAGTGTTGGCACAGGGAGGACAATTGTAGTAAACTGCTATTTACTAGTGTCAGGTTACTCTGTACAGCTGGGAAATGCTGTCCATTGGTGACTGCTTCACAGTGCAGAGCTGTGCGGCTGCAAAGGTGCTGACTCTCCTTATGGAGGCAGAGACTTGCTTATAGACAGTTTTAAGGTTTGCCTGCTGAGGTTTCTAGAGGTGCTTCACGCCAGCTTAACTCCACTCTCTTGACATCAAGAAGGGCAGAATTCAGCTAAGAGTGTGCATGTGTGAAAAGCCTACTCTGGCAACTTTGTTCTTCTCTTCCAAAGTTTAAAACAAGGTGTAGGGTCTGTCTCCTGGTCTCCTGCCTGTCAGTATAACTCTTGGAGCATGAGTCAGAAGGATGCTGCCTTCTCTGCCTAGTTAGCGGCATTCCCTGTGAGCAGGCAGCATCCAGTTGGCATAGAAACAGCTTTGCTAGGCTGGTCCTCCCCACCCCCCTGGGCCATCCTAAGGAGCTCCAGCAAAAGGGGTTGCAGCACACCAGCCTTTAGTGCCTACGGATGGTGGCAAGCAGCCACCCAGACCATATTAACAGTATGTTGTGCTCATCCTGCAGGTTGGAGGGGAAAGAGGTTCGTTTCCTGGTGCTCCTTCTCTGCTGTTACTTGTTAGCATCTCTCATACTGGATGTAAAATGTCTGACTAATCTGTTTGTCCACGTGTTTTCAGTAGGAGAACTGAAAGCATGCTGGGGTTGGCTGGGGACACTGCTCCTCTGAGGAGGGTGTGGAGGTGAAGAGAGAGCAGAAATAGGATTACCTGAGTGTTTGAACAAGCTTTCACAGAGACTGCACGTATGCAGACTTCCCTTCAGCCTGAATGAAGGGGAGGGAAGCACCCCTCTCCCCCTGCTCCCACCACCCACTATGGAAGCCACTTGCTACTCACAGGTCCCAGTATGGGCCAGTTCTGTGCACTGAGATAGCAGAAGGAACTGGGATAACCCTGGGCAAAGGCCAAAAGAGAAAGGATCCCAGTTTGGCTCCCCTGTCTGCTGGAGGCTACAGAAGGACACACTCTGCAGCAGAAAGTGTCCTTTCAACAGCCTGGTTGGCTTGTCACCAAGTTATCAGACAGCTACTTGGTGGCTGCTGATATTGCAACAGAGCAAAGTAGCCATCACATTGCGCCACTTGATTGCACAGCTAAGTGATGCAGGGAATAAGCCCTTTGACTTTCTGTATAGCACAAGGGGTGACTTTTTCCCCCCCAGAGATTTCTAGATAACAGTGCTGAAGCTGAAAATTAAAAAAATGTTAATGTCCTTGCTAAAGCCAGGTTCAATATTTTAAAGCGTTAAGAGGATCATATATCTGTCATGTACTGCAGAGCTTGAGGGCATGAGCTGCCTAAAATTAAAGGCTGCTTCCCAGCCTTGTCTGATTTGTTATTAATATGTGTAAAATGAAGGGGAGGTTTCAGAGCTTATCTGAGGGCTTGAGGAACAGGCTTGACTACAGTTTTCTGGCAGCATCCTCTGATATAAGGGTACTTGAAAAGCAGTATCACTTGATAGTACCAGCAAGGGAGAGGCATTGGGCCAAGAGGCCTATAGCACCCCCTGAGAGAGAGACAAAACCTATTTTTGGTCTGATGCTAAAGATCTAGAAACTATTTTAGAAAAAATAACTATCATTTGGACTCTCGGCCAAAGACATGCAGCAACTAGAGCTGTCTATAAACAGCAATGGCACCTGTCTAGCTTTTCTCGCCTTGTCCTGGTCTTATCAATGCCGAGCACTCTTATCTGCCCTTCATTCAGGAGAAACTAATGATGTCTTAGCACCTCACAGGCTTGTTGTATTTAAGGGCCAGCACCACAGAGAGATTTACAGATAAAACTGCTAGACTTTAATACCTTCTCACAGATGGTCCTTTTTTCCTGCCTAGTTGTAAAATCTCAGTAAGAAATGAAACCTGCATTACTGCCTAAGCTTTCGATTCGCCCTCACCCTCAGGAAATGCCCCCAGAAACCAGACTTTCTCCTGACCACAGCAGCCTGCTCCCTATGCAATACCTGACTCTGTCAATGTGTACAGCAGTCCTGGGGCTGAACAAACCAGAGCCCATGGAGGCAGAACCCAGAAAGGCTCAGCCACACTTCCCTTAACTTCATCCGCTTTTCACATCTTGCATGCTGCTATTTTCCCCGCTACACAAAAGCAAATCATAGGGGCAGAGGGGAAATAAGGTTGCTAACAGCATGGAGACTTACTTTGCATAAGATTATACATCACGATGCATCCCCCGCCGCTGAACAGTCCCATGAAAACAGCCATTTGCTGCAGTTTTCTTAGAGAAGCTGGCATTTTTCCTCCCTGAAAAGAAAAAGAGAAGACATTTGTTGTAGAAGAAGAAAAGCTAAAGGGTTGTTTCCCCCCCTCCTCCTCCTCAAAGCCCTTTCCAACCAGGCCTGAATGAAAGCGCGGTGCACAGGCATCGGGCTCTTGCTCGCTGGGGCCCCACCGCGCGCCCAGAAGGAAGGGTGGTGAGAACAGAGCAAACTGGGGACCCAGCTGGGTTGAATGTGTTTATTCAACTTCTTTTAGCGATGCCACCACTTTGCTAATTGCCGAGAAGAAAATGACCTCCCCGGTGTGGCCAGGGGCCAGCACCACGGCGCATTGTTGCGGGGGCTCCCAGCGCCTGTGCGCTCGCTTGCACACTGTGAGCATTCAGGCTCCGGGGGCTGGATTTCTCTCTCGAGTAAACTCCTCTAAAGTAAACACGCTCGCAGCAGGGCTGGATTTGGCCTGGAGTGGTAAGGGACAGAGCCAAGGCAGCGCCGTGCCAGCAAAGATAATGGAGCCAGGGTGTGTGTATTCTGTTGTGTTGCTTTTTTTCCCAAGCCGTGGATAAACAGGAAGGCTCTTGCAAGCTATTTTTCTTCCTTCCTGCACCCCCCAGCCCAAGCTTGCCCTTTTAATGAGTCACAATTTTGGCATTTGAATGAATGACCCAGCAGAATAAGAAACACCTCTGAGAAAGTCAATCTACTAAATGCGTCCATGGTTTGGGTAAGAGGGGGACCATGTGGCCTGAAGAGCCTGAGCTAATGCTCCTGCCCACAACAGGTTAGTAGGACTCTAGCTGAGTCGTCAGTGGGAGAGTAGCACGTTGCTTCAGGCTGTGGCAGGATGGGACTTGACGGAGCATCCGAGTATCGGCTTATGCTCCTGCTTCTCTCGCAGCTGGGATGGTAGGGAGAAATGGTTTGACAGCAATTAAAAAAATATATAGCAAAAGGCTGCCCTTTTTGATGCAGGCACATAGATATCTGAATAGGTGAGGAAGCTGTATGGAATTTTTAGTCTCAAAGGTTTCTCACCTCGATCCTTGTGCCGTGATGGTATGTATGACTTAAGTGTTACGCTCAGCAAGAGTTGGTTAATAAACCGAGGCCCAAACCAGTTACAGAAATGTGACCTGGGCAAGGCTGTTCGAGTCCTGTTGTGAAAACCACCTCTAGCATCCCTCAGGTATGTGTTAGTCAGGTATTGCTCAGCTGACAGCCACAGTTTAGAGAGGGTGGAGAGGCAAATGTCAGGACTCCTTCCCCTCGTGGCCAGGTCAGAGTGACATGGGCAGACTCCCTCTGCTCACCACTCTGCTGACATGACCCTACGCCATCTCTTGCATCCTCTAGCCCAAGGGAAACGGTGAATGCAACCCAGGTACAAATTTCATCTACCGTAACACATGCTATCCCTTAGTTGAAGGCTTGTTAACTAGCTCCCTTGATTTTAAGAGCTCTTAAGTTTACTGGTTTATTTACTTCAAATTTATGGGTGGCTAGTGATGGTAGCAACCCAGAGAAACACGTGGGTATTATATATATTTATGCCCCAAAATCCCCAAATTGTGCCATTGGTACAGTCAGTCTTCTCTCACTCCTGATCTGTTTCTCTGATGAGTTTTTCGTCTTCACTTCCCCTGGGGAACTTGAGCAGCATGAGATGTTGCAGCAGAGGAAGTAGAGAAATGGCGACAGTTGTTTCACAAGGACAGAGAGAGCTTTCTGCTCACCCACTTGTGTTTGCATCCTTCCTTAAATCACAGTTTGTAACATTATTTCCCCCTCCCTCAAACTGTAAAATCTGATTAATAACTGAGTTTCCCATAAGATCCATTTGGCCAGGAGGAGGATCTGACACCAACACCACATAACGGGAAGTGGGGTGGGAATAAAAAGGTGGTAAATCTGAAGAGCAAATCAGATATAACAGGCTGTGACTCATGGCATTTGTTTTTGCCCCTTTCAAAGTTGCAACCAGGGTAACTGAATGCAAATATCTGGCAGTGGGGGTGCTGCTGGCAGCTTGATGAGTAAAAGTGAGAAGATGAGGAGCTCTTGCACCAGCAAGGAGGTTTTGACCAACGCTCAGGGGACCTGCCTAGCAAAGGCCGGAAAGTAGAGGCTCTGCAGCTCACTGTCAGCGGGTTTGAGGTTTGTTACGTCTCACGGTCTGCTCGCACCCAAACAAGAGGGATGGAAAGCGAGAAGCTTTGTGCAGCACATGCTCTCATCACCACCTCCGCTCCCAGCAGGTCAGCAGCTGCAAGCACCCTGATGGTGCTGGGATGGGATGGTGGCATCTGGCAAGGGAGCTTGGCAGCTAAGAACTGGTGATCCCGGTAAGCACTGTTGCCCCGTGCAGCTCTCCCAGCTGCTCCTGATGTGCTGCCCCTGCCTGCAACAATCACCCCTTGCTGGTCCTGGTGAGGCAGGGATGTGGGGGGCTGAGGTGTGCCCAAGTTGTGCAGCCCGCGCTGACTCTGCAAAAATCCTCGTTGCTGTAAGAGGGAGAACATCTCTGTTGCTTGTGTTTGGTCACAGCAGGAAGCCCACAGGCTGGACCACCCCATCCCCAGTCTAGCCCTTGATGCTCTCCTCCCACTTGTTTCTCAGCTGTTTTCCCAAGCCAGTCCTATGACAGCACGTTGCGGGAAGAGGTTCAGAGCTACACGTTTTAACAAGCCTCTCAAGACCTTGCAAACCTTCTCTTTGATCCCGCAATTCCCTGTTAGCTTCCAAAAGCAAGGACACAGGTGTCCTCAGAGCCCAGAGCTGCTGCTCCCCTTCCCTGCCATCATGGTCTTTTGAAGCATGGATATCCTGATATTGCAGCCAAATCCTTGAGCATCCTTTGGCATGCTGCTGACTTCTGAATGACGATGCTGGAGATACTAATGGTGTCAGCTTGTGGAATACCAAAATGTAGCAAGGAGCTGTTGTCTGCGAGGACTTATCGCTAGGATTTCTGCCCTCTGGCCAACTACGTTTGCTACTCCCATCTGCTGCTCTGCTGAAGTGCCATGGAGGTGGTTCACTAGGGAAGGGAAGCAGAGGCATGCCAGAATTGTGCCTCTTGTCCTAAATCTTGTTGAAAAATACTTAAAGCCTGCAAAGTGTAGAGGCTATTAAAGGGAAGCACCAAACCCCCTCAACATCATTTGCCACAAAGGCAGCAACTGTAAGACAATGCACTTAGGAGAATCTTAGAGATGCAACCTGCAATTGCCTCCTAAGGAGGGAAATTCAGGTTGTTATCTGCGATGGAGATCTCCCCTCAGAACCTGTTATACCACTAAAAAGTATGCAAGTCAACGGGTGGAAAAACAGATTTCTTCACAACCAGTAATTAAAAAAAAAAGCACAATTTCTAAGCTACACTATTCTGCAAAAACATCATTTCCCCCATGCTATTTGCAGTGGTAAGAAAGATTAAGTAGAGATTAGCACACACAAAAACATTGAGCCTACAGTTACCAAAAGAAGAGACATTAAATCATTATAAGTAGTGTTCTCTAAAAATAAATATTAAAGAGTAGAGCCTCCCAATAAGGGTGATGTTCATTTTGTGCCTTGAAAGTTGTAAGATACGGTGGAGAAGATAGTATTCAGGCTTGACTTTGAAACTAAGCAGAACTCAGGCAGTTAACACCACGACTTAACAAATCCAGAGAGGTGGAAGACTCCCAGGGTCACATGTGAAATGGTGGGTTACTGTAACAGTAAAGTCTGGTTTTAATTAGACTTTGTTTTCTCCACAGAGGATCTTCTAAAAATAGGCTGGACTTAAGAGATTCTCCCTTTGATTCCAGCAAATTCAGATTTTCTGTTTTAGTCCCTGAAATTCATGTGGCAGAGGTTGGTCTCAGGCTCCTCCACCAAAGGCAGGTAGCAGTGAAGCAAGGACATTTTCACCCAGCCACAAACATTCGTTTTATTTGACTCAGACCCGAGAGAGGAAGCTGAGGCTGCAGGTTCTTTGGGGAAGGCATTTCTTTCTCCTCCTCCTCTTTCTTCTCCTCCTCCTGGCACTACCAAGCTCCACCAGCACCTCCAGCTTCTGGGTGCTATCACAGACCAAACAGTAAACAATAATATTGCTCTAAAATCAGGGAGAAACAACTTGATCCATGAAACCCGGCGTGATCATTGCTGGCTATCTCAGTTTGGGCCACTGCCTACCCATCTGGCCAAGACAATATACTGCCAGGCCACCAATGCAAGCAGCTGGGAGCCTTTAAACCACCTTGAACTACTGTAGTCCTGAGGTGTCGGCATGACACACTAGATATGTGTGCAAAAGGCTACTATTAAATTAAATTCAAACTTATTGATAGTCCTGAACATGGATCTGATCATCTAAATGCAAGGCTGGAAGTGTTGCCTAGCCCTTCAGCAATGAAACTCTCCCTTAGGCTGGTGGGATTTGCATCAGCCCCAGGTCCAGCTTTTCTGAAAGCCACCCAAGTAGTGATGGAAGTCACAGGAGATGAGGGTAATGTCAGGCAAACCACACACAAGCACACACTTGTATTTCACATTCTTGCTCTCTTGCCCATCCATTGATCTTGTGAGATCCATAAGGCATCTGGGTGTGAGCCAATTTCTATGGTAATAACATGCCAGAACAAGATTTTAGAGCCAGTTTCTTGACACTCATTGTCTACTAAATACCTTCATCACTGGTACTGTCACCAAAGAGGGGACAGTACAGTAGAAGTGTTTTCACAGGTTCATCATTTCAGCATATTACTTTCCTCTTTTTCACAGAAATAGTCTCAACATACTATTTACCTCATTTCTGAGAATCGTGCTCCCTGCCCGCATGTTTAGAAATACCAAGGCTTTGCGTGTCTGATCTGCCTTCACCAAAAACTCAGTAACTTTAGAGTAGAAGTTACACAAAAAGTAGAAGTAATACTCTTTTTTTTCTCAGTGGTTCTTCTCTAGATGCACTGAAAAGACATATTTTGGCATTTAGGGAGGTAAAGCACCTTTTCAGCCAGCTTTGAAATGGTCCTGTCAAGAGTTGCCTTGTGGATCAGTTCCTAGGTATAATTTACAACCTGGTTAAAATGTTTTGAAGGGACAACTCTGTGTACAAGGAAGATCGCTGTCATGCCAGGAAACTGTGATAAGCTTATTCTCTGCCTTTGCTGCTAGCTAATTAACAAGGAAAGTGAAAGTAGCCAATAGAGTTAATAAGAACTGTAAACAGCCACCTTATTCTTGTAGTTGTATTGCATCTCCCGGGGCACATGCTACGACGCAGGTGGCTTGCTCAGTTAGTACAAAGCCTGACATGGTACCGACAGATATTTAGTTGCATTTCCTTTTTCTCCTCTCTTGGGTGCTCTCATCTGCACGTTTCTATATATTTATATATCTTCCTGTATCTTCTGTACTCCACCATCAGAGTCTACTTCCCCATGTGCTCTTAAGATACAGTCTCATCTGGCAGGCTTGCCTGTATTGAATTTCTTTCCCACCTGCTTGCCTACCTTCACACCCCTACATGCCCTCTTCCTCTGCAGACTATTGCACCACCCCAGGTCCAGGCTGCTTGAGGAGCCTTCTCCTGCCATCCCTTGGTTTATCCCTCTGGGAAACAGAGACTGTTTTCCAAACTGCAGGTAGCAAAGGCAGGTGCCTAAATC